ATGAATGAATGAATGAATGAATGAATGAATGAATAAATAAATAAATAAATAAATAAATAAATAAATAAATAAAAGATGGTAAAGAAAGGCAGTCATAGCGGCAGGCATGGTGGGATGTGCCTGTGATCCCAGTGCTCAGAGGCTAGGAGGTAAGTTCAAGGTCACCATGGGCTACAAAGTAAGAGCCTACTTCCGGGGAGGCTGATTAAAAAAACAATTTAAGCCGGGCGGTGGTGGCGCACGCCTTTAATCCCAGCACTCGGGAGGCAGAGCCAGGCGGATCTCTGTGAGTTCGAGGCCAGCCTGGGCTACCAAGTGAGTTCCAGGAGAGGCGCAAAGCTACACAGAGAAACCCTGTCTCGAAAAAAAAAAAACAATTTAAGAGATGGAAAAGCAAGTCAAATCAGAAAAATATGAGAAAATTCTTTTTGTGAAATCAGAAGGCTGTAGCCTCATGTTTACTATGCATTTTTCAGATGGGGTACCCCTGACGCAATCCCCCTGGGAACAGACACCTTCCCCTCCTGTACCCCACAGAATGTCCAGGATCCTCCTTCACTCCCAGTGAAGCTAACCTTCCCCACGCCTACAGCCTTCATTCTTTGCAATCCATGCCTTCCACTCCACCTACAAGGTCTCATTTTCCCTTCCACAGTCCAGTTGGCCAAAGCGTTCTGCTCACTCAGACGACTGCCAACACACCGGAAGACCTGGATCTTGCCAACCCCCTCTTAAACCACTTCTGAGGCAAGAACACCGAGTCCACTCCCCAGGTTCCTATTTGATCGTAAGAACTCTAATAAAGATCTAGGCCCAAATACAGGTAAAAAATTAGACGATATCATTTAATTAAGCCCACATCTAGGCACACACTAAAAAGTACAGCACCGTCTCAGAGCCCACCATAATACCATTTTGAATTTAGATACTGTATTTACCTATCAACCAATTTAACCTCATTTGTCATATCACTCTAGGAAACTCCTCACAAGGAGCACAGGATTAATCAACACATCAGCTGGTCCTCAACAATGGAGGATGGGAAAATAACAAAAACCATACACACAGAGAGATCAGAAAAGAACTGTCATTCTTCACAGATGGGCTGGGTGGGTACAAAGAAAACATAAATATACTCAACAAAGAATAAAAATTAATAGGCTCATCTGACAAGGTCATTTGTTACAAAATCAATATACAAAAAGATCTCTATCTACTGCTGGTAACCAAAGCAATATGAAATGAGAAAATACATTTAAGGGGCTGGAGAGAAAGAGAGACAGACAGACAGACAGACAGACACACACACACACACACACACAGAGGTGGTTCTGTTGTTAAGAGCCCCTGGTCCTCTTGCAGAGGACCTGGGTCTAATTCCCAGTATCCACATGGTGGTTCACAACCCTCTGTAACTCCAGTTCCAGATTCAACACCCTCTTCTGACCTCCAAGAGCAACAATGCATGTGGTACTCATACATACATGCAGGCAAAACATGTTGTGGAATAGTCTTTTTATACGTTGTGAAGATGTGTTGCTCTTATTGGTTTAATAAGGAGCTGAATGGCCAATAGCTGGGCAGAAAGAGGTTAGGTGGGACTTGGGGACAGGGAGAGAGCACAGTGATGAAGAAGGGCAGAGTCAGGAGGAGAAGCAAGATGAGTATACAGTAATGAGGAAAAGTACTGAGCTATGTGGTAGAACATAGATTAAAAATATGGGTTAATTTAAGATGTAAGAGCTAGTTAGTAACAAGCCTAAGCTATCAGCCAAGCATTTTTAATTAGTAAGTTTCTATGTGGTTATTTGGGAGCTGGCTGGTGGGACAGAAAAATCACGCCTACAAAAACATACATAAAAATGAATGAATTCGCCAGGCGGTGGTGGCGCACGCCTTTAATCCCAGCACTCGGGAGGCAGAGCCAGGCGGATCTCTGTGAGTTTGAGGCCAGCCTGGGCTACCAAGTGAGTTCCAGGAAAGGCGCAAAGCTACACAGAAAAACCCTGTCTCGAAAAACCAAAAAAAAAAGAATGAATTCAATAAAAATTAAAGAAAATATATCTAGGGCCAGTGAAAAGGCTCAGTAGGTACCTGCCAACAAGCTCAAAAACCTGAATTTGATCCCCAAGAGCTATATAGTAGGAGAGACCCAACTCCCAAAAGTTGTTGCCTGACTGCCACAATGCATGTTGTGGCATGTGCCCCTCCCCCAGACAATTAAAATGCAATGAAAGTTTTAACAGCAACAGAAATATCAATGACCTAAAAACAATCTAGTAAGAAATTCCTGTAAAGCACTAGCAAAAATTAAAGACAATAAATGGAAGGATGTATCATGGACTGAAAGGCTTGATACTGTAAAGACATCAACTGTCTTCAAATTTATCTATAGGTTCAATGTAACACTAAACAAAACCTCAGCACCATGCAGAGATTAGAATGAGTAAATTACAGTCACGTTTATTCTACAGTCACGTTTATTCACCGAGGTGACTCTCAGAACAAGCCAAACAAAATAAGCAAGGCATAAAGGTAGACACACTGTATCAATCTACATACAAAAACATGTTGAGGGACCAACCTAACCTGTGGAGCTCAATGTTAGAAAGGAGACACAGGTCACATGGTGAATTTGCAGTGAAGAGTTAGGAGGTGGCTTGTTTCTCAGTAGAAATAGTTCTCCATTTTAGGAATGAGCAGACTAGAAATTCAACTCAGGCATTTCACACACACACACACACACACACACACACACTCACACCCTCTCTCTGACAATTTCATACATATATATAATGCATCTTGATCATACTCAACTTTAATTGCCCCGCCACTCCTCGCACTATCCCAGATCCCCCAATGTTTTGTCTTTACAATAATCCACTGAATCCTATTAGTGCTTCCGTTGTGAGGATCGGTAACCTACCAGCAGCTACTCCTCCAAAGAAGGTACCCACCCCCCGCAGCCATCATTGCCAACAGATCCTCAGCTGGCAGTGAGGCCCTGTGAGCCCTTCCCTTACCCAAGCCAGAATCATTGACTGGCTGGATCTCTCTCGTGCAGATCTTGGGCAGATACCCAAAGCTACTGTGAGGTCCTGAGTGCACCAGCCACCTAACATCATCATTACCTCTATATACTTTGTGTGGGGTGCGGCAGCGCCAGTGAGTGGTGGAGACGGCAGGCACCTCCCCGCACTGGAGGATGAGCTAAGTGGACCGACTCTGTCACTTGAAGGGGATGTTGGGAAAAGGAGGTATCTAAGATTCCCAAACCCAGTAAGAGGCAGCACGTTCAGATGTGCAGAATGGCTGATGACCACTCTGTCTGGCAACTGTCTCAAAAAAAAACCAAACAAACAAAAACTAGGAACATTATCAATTATAGTTAGGGGGCACAAGTTCCAACAGTGGAAATCAAAGAAGTATAGGGGTCCTCCCCATTTTCCTATCTAATATAGCTAACTTCTATAAGAACAAACTCTCAAATCGAATACAGTGAAATTAATTATTAGATGAGCTATGCTCAATTTTTAAAAATTGATTTATTATGGATGTGTGGTATCTATGCATGTATACATTCACCATCACCCACGGGGAAGCCAGAGATAGATCCTAGGCCTCCTGCTCCATTGTTCTACGCCTTATTCCTTTGAGATAGACTCTCTCGTTGAAGCTGGAGTTAGACTGGCCGCCAACAAGCCCCAGGCACCCTCCTGTCTCTACCCCTCAGCACTGGGGTCACAGGCTTGCAGTCACACTTCCTCCTGTCTCCATCCCCTCAGCACCAGGGTTACAGGCACGCACAGTCAACCCCCCTCTTCCTTAATCCCCTTAGCACCAGGGTTACAGGCTTGCACAGCTACACCCCTCCTGTCTCCACCCCCTCAGCACTGGGGTTACAGGCTCACAGTCACACCCCCTTCTGTCTCCATCCCCTCAGCACCAGGGTCACAGGCTCGCACAGTCACACCTGGCTTCACTTGGGTGCTAGAGATTTGAACTCAGGTCCCATGCTTGCACAGCAAGCCGAGCAATGTCCTTAGCCTTGTGCTAAAATCCCTAATGAGCTTGCCCAAAGACCTCTCCTCAAGCATGCACAAGCTCTTTCTGATATGATTATCAACATCTGATGCTATTAAGTTCCACACAGTAACATGAATGCAAGCGAGGATCAGCAGTAGAGATGTCCAAGCTCAAGATTAGGATTTCCACATGCTGTTTTCATTTCTACACACTCTTTTTAAATATACCCATAAAATGGGTCAGCAACTATAAAGCAACTTAAAACCCTCTGAGGTGGCACATACCTGCCATCCTGAGACAGCAGGATCATGAACTTGAGGCCAGCCTACAATACACAGCAAGACCCTGTCTTTAAAAAATTCGGTGTTTTACAGGAAAATATGGGTGGGTGGAGTAGGGAGATCAGACTGGGATTCGTGAGACCCCGTCTCAAAAACGAAATGAAACAAATCAGGGAGACTGTTACAGATTAAATAGTCCAGTGAGGCACACACACACAAATGCAGTGGGTGGGTGATTCTTAATTCTAAATCAGAAGCAATGTCAATATTAACTCTAAGAAAAATCCTCGGGGACAACCTCAGAGTTTGGAATAGGACCACATTATTTTCCTTGGACTACAGGGAAGAATTTCCCTAAGTTTTGGCAATGTACACTAAAGCATTTTGGAGGTGAAATGTCACGGTTTTTACATCCTGCTTCTAAACGATTGGATGAGAAGAGAAAGAACACGCAATGAACAAATGTAAAAACGTAGTGATCTGCTTTTAAAAATAAATCAAGAATCTTCTCTTTTTCAAAGAAAGGGACAGAACGGATCTCGTATCTGTGGCTGCCTAACAGGTCAAAAGTTAGGAACTTCGAACCTGGAGACAGGGAGATGGCTCATTAGGTAAAATGTTTGCCATACTACTCTAAGGACTTGAGTTCAGATCCCCAGCACCCATCAGAAAGCCAGGTGTGGCAGTACGCACCTGTCATCCCCGCTCTAGCCAGCTGATGAGGTCCAGCTTCTTCAGGGAGAGACCCTGTCTCAAGAAAAATAAATCAATAAGGTAGCGAGCCACAGAGGAAGACCGCTCATGGTGAACTCTTTTTTTTTTTTTTCACCAACATATGTGTGGGCATGTACACCCGCACACAGGCATATTCACACCCCCGGGAGTGAGGGGATAGGGGGAGGACACACCCCCTTCCGTCTCCACCCCCTCAGCACTGGGGTGACAGGCTGGCTTGAAGTCCGTGCACTGACCTATAAAGAAAGCCAACCTCGGCCTGTTACCAAACCAGAAGCATAGGATAACCCTGGGAATCTAAAATCACACAAGAACAAACGTTGATCGCGTCCTAATGCTTAAGACTGGGCTTCCCAAATATTTTGTTGGCTCTGACCCACTTAGAAAACAGTAAGAAAAGCATCCTAGACAGGGCAAGACGAAAACTGTCCCTGTCCCCACTGTTCTCTGCTGCCCCGCTGCAGAGAATAGAATGACTGAAATAAAACCTATCAGTAATTTCATACACATATGGAACCACATAGGGCAGGAACTAAAGCATATGTCCCACTCAGAACCACAAGCATTCTTGTGGGGGCGGGGAAGAGAGAGAATTTCCTCTCCTTGTGAATATATATATACATATATACACACAACAGACTTTCGGCAGCACCAGACCAGCTGGACACCTCATTAGATTCATGCCCACAGTCCTCAAGGGAGCACAAAGCAGCCATCAGCAGCCTGTGACAATTAAAAAGACTTTGAAAACCTAAAATCTTTCCCTTCAAGTTCTCCTAGTCAATCCCTTCCCAAGTAGCTGCCTTGGCCCTCACTTCTGCTCATGAAGTCTGAGCAGGGCCAGAACCAGAAGAGCAAAGAAGGGAAGCCTGGGGCTTAAGCATTTCTGAGGACTCTGGCTAGCTCACCCTAATGCACCAGGCTGGAGGATCAGAAAAAGATGTGAAGCCAAAGATCGAAGAGCCTGGCGGTGGTGGCGCACACCTTTAATCCCAGCATTCAAGAGGCAGAGGCAGGCAGATCTCTGTGAGTTCGAGACCACCCTGGTCTACAAAGCAAGTTCCAGGACAGCTAGGGCTGTTACACAGAGAAACCCTGTCTTGAAAAACCAAAATAAATAAACAAATAAAACAAAAACAAAGACAAAAGTATGCTAAGCTGAGCATGACAATTTATGCCTGTAACTCCAGCACATGGGAGGCTGAGGCAAAAAAGTGCAAATTGGGGACAGCCTGGGCTACATAGTGAGTTCCAGGCCAGGTTCTACAAAATGAGATTCTGTCTCACACACCCTCAAACCAAAATAATATGTATGCCACTCCGGGAATATTTACAACAGAGGAAGCAAAGCGGGCAGTAGAATGCTGGTATGGCACCGACACTCTCCACACAATAGCAGACAGGACAATCCCTTGGCACAGTATGTCACACAGGGGCTGAGGTTTAAGGGAGGCTCATTCCGCAGTCTTAAACTACATGGGCAGATATATCTGTGCCAGGCAAAGTCTTACATCAAGAAAGCACAGCTTCTGTTCTGAGTAGAATTTTCCATCTGTGTGCTTGGGAAAGGCTGGTTCAGAAATGGTCAAATTATTCAGTTATTTAGACTGGTGATCAACCATGGTGGTGTGAGGGGATTTTAGCGTTGATAAATATTCTGGATATTCATATTCTCTATATGTTTCTATCCCTCTCCATCTTCCTCTCCTTCACAAACAGTCTCACTATGTGGTCTTAGTTGGCCTGAAATTCTTTATATATACACAAGGCGGGCCTCAAATTTTCTGTGATACTCCTGCATCTGCCTCCTCAATGCTGAGATTATGGGCATCTGCCACCAAGGCCAGATGGGTTATTCATCTTGTATGTCATTTCAGAGAGAACCATAGGACTGTCACCCTGGTGCTATGGTTCAGGATCTCAAGATGTAGGATCAACCATGAGGAAGCAAAACTCATCAATGAACAACTACAGAAGACCTTATATGATAGGTACTGACCTAATATGGCCAGTACCACCCTCTGTACAATAAATAATGGCTAAAGCAAGAACCAATAAAGCTGGTTCCCGGATCATTTGACTTCGGGAGTCAGCTCCCACTGCTACAGTCAGCAGAAACAGATGCAGCAATTAAGTGTATGGAGGGAAAACAAAAACGTCAGGATTCAGATCTAGAAACCAGGTAATACAGTCAGCTAAAGAAAGGCTTTGACAGAGGAGAGGTGAATCTGGGGAGGGAGGGAGAAAGAGGAAGAGAGACTGGGAGGAGAGGAGGGAGAGGAGACTGCTGTCGGGATGCAATATATGAGAGCAGAAAAGTTTTAAAAAAAGGAAGGAAGGCTTTGAATGTAAAACCATGACATGGACTATGGGAAACGGGAACAAGTGGGGCCCCGGGCTATGCAGGCACAGGACCCACCTAAGACTGAGGGTCACGGTTTTGAAAGACAAACTAGCCGGGGTTCAACCAGAGGGAAATAACCAAAGGCACGAGAGCAGGTCAGAGCGGAACTGAGTGACGGAAGAATACAGACTCTGTCCTATCAAGGTTTTGGAACTTCAAGAACCAGGGCCTTTGGGAGCAATGGTTTTTGGATATAAGCCCAGGGAATCTTGTTGGTAAACTACCTAAAAATGCGAGGCACCTCCAAATATTCTGGAAATGTGGGAGTAGGGGAAGGTATCAGGGAGGTCATTATGCTCCTAAGTGGGATGGTAGAAACACACAAGTTATCAGGACAGTGGAAGACTGCCTTAGCGTTCTGAACACGGACGACCAGGGTCTCCAAATGCAAGAGTTAGAATTTTAAAGGAAATCGAGCTAGTAAGAGAACGGAGCTCTAAAATTCTCAGACAGTTCCATGAAGCCGCCTTGGAGAAGGGTCTCTCTCCCAAGACACAGGAATTAACAGCTCACAGACCTGAACAGTCACACAGATAGGGTAACACAAAGGCACCCTGCTGCGTAAACCTTCCTCTCAATGTCTGTTTATCTCTAATAAGCTTAGATTTAGGCTGTGGACTCCCGAAACCAGCGCAGTGGTTCTAAGCTGTAACGTGTATGATGCATTGGGCTGGCAGGGCATATGCTTCCTCTGGGGACACGCTGGATGGGTATGGAGTTAAGCTTCAGTGCCAAGAGTGTACACGGGCTGGGACAGCATTTCTAACTCTGGTTTGTGTGGAGGTCATGTTATACTATTTTATGGTCTGACTGCTCCGGGAAGTGTGGAAAATTACAAGAGGCAGGAGACGGATCGAACAGAGAAGTCAGTCTAGTTTCGAAGGTGCCCTAGCACACGGGGTGCTGCTGGCCTTGGGGGCTCTGGGTTAGAACTGCCACTTAACCCCCAGAACAACTTCCTGGCTATGACTGAAGCAGGGTAAGATGGAAATGGCTTTCCATTCACAGAGCCATTTCAGTTGTGGGCAGGGACACTGGCATGACAAGGGGCTTTAGACAGGTACTTGTGGTATTGTATTCCCCCAAATATTGTGCATGCTAATAAATTATCTGGGGTCAGAGACAGAGCAGCCACAATATTAAACATAAAGGATAGGCAGTGGTAGCACACGCCTTTAATCCTAGCTTTCCAGAGGCAGAAATCCACGTGTTCAAGGATACAGACAGGCATGGTGACTCATCACGCCTTTAATCCCAGAAAGCGAGCCTTTAATCCCAGGGAGTGGTGGTAGAAAGCAGAAAGGTATATAAGGCATGAGGACCAGAAACTAGAGGCATTTGGCTGGTTAAGCATTTGGCTGGTTAAGCATTTAGGCTTTTGAGCAGCAGTTCAGCTGAGATTCATTCTGGATGAGGACTCAGAGGCTTCCAGTCTGAGGAAACAGGACCAGCTGAGGAACTGGCGAGGCGAGGTGAGGTGGCTGTGGCTTGTTCTGTATCTCTGATCTTCCAGCTTCACCCCAATACCTGGCTCACAAGTTTGATTTTATTAATAAGACCTTCTAAGATTCCTGCTACAGGTACTGGTACATTTCAGGAACTATGATGTTTATTTGAGCTCTTAACTACATATAAATGGGGGAGGAGAGGCAGCTTAGAGGTTTGTTCCTGGTAGGCTCAGTTCAACGATGCAGTATCTAGCAGCTGGCTGGAGCACTTGACATCCCATAATTAAATCATCAAACCCAGAAGGTAAAAAACTAAACGCTGCCCATGAAAGTCAACTTAGGAGACCACTGTGTGATGTGCAACCCATCAGAGGGGACAGTACAGCAGACCAGGGAAACCGTGGTGACTCAGGAGAGTTCAAGGCTTCCCTCTCTAGAAAGCAAGAAATGTGGTCAAGGACACAATGATTCCCATGTTCTGAAGAACACACAGAAAGGAAAAGCCTGGCTAGGAAGAGCCACAGTGGTCCTCAAAGCTGTCTTCCTCGTCGGCTGCATGAGAATGGAAGTTGCTGCAAGGCTCGAGAGGGTTCCGGAAAGAACTGGAGTTACTGGGCTGTGCATACAGACACACAGACCACTGTTCAAAGCTCTTCGAAGAGAAGCGTGGGGTGGCATGTACCTGTGGTCCCACTACAAAGGAGTTGGGGACAGGGGGTACCTTGAGCTTATTACTTCCACACCAGCCTGGAGACTTCATTTGAGGAAAAAACAGAATCTTGGATCAGGGGCTAAGCAATAGCTCAGATACAGGACTCGTCTGGCACATGTGAGACTCTGGGTTCAGTACATACAGCAGTGTCGGTAGAAACACTGGCCATCTTGTCTGCGGTCGTCTATCAGAGGTTGCCATGGGTCTGAGAACACTGGCGTTGCCCTTTCTTTGACTCTTATCAGTACTAACAATGACGGCGTTTTCAAAGAAAGCACAGCTAAATGGAAAGATTCACTGTATCAACTAAAGCCCCCTTTCTTCTCCCTAAAGTTGGTCTCGGAGTGAGAGGAAGCCACCTTGGGCATAGGTTCCAAGTCAGGCACCTCTTATTCACAGACCTCACGTGCTATGGAGTGTCCAGTGGTCTAACACCGACCAGCTAGCT